AGTTTATTAACAAGGTAGTCAGTGATTTTTTGAACATTTAAGTCAGAACATGTCATTCCTCTCTTCAAAAATCTTCTATTGGTTTCCTATCTCTAAGAGTATAAGCCAGATCCTAACAATCATCTATAAGGTCCTCTTACACTATGCACAAGGCTCACTCCTTCAAGTCTCTGCTTAAACATCATATTCTCAATGAGGCCTTCCCTAGTCACCCTATTATAAATTACAATACCCTTCTTCCCACTGTACTTCCTATCCTTCTTTCCTATTTTCACTACAGACTTGACTACTATTTGACACTATACATTTTACTTTATTGTGCCTTCCCCAGCAAAACATAAACTCCACAACAGGAAGAATTTTGTCTACTTTGTTCATTACTCTATCTCTAGTACCTATGTGAGCTGGCATATGGTAGGCACCCATAAATATTTTTTTGAGTAAGTCCCAAACCTTTATTATCAGCTTTCAACTCTTGAGCAGGAGACTCACATTTCCAACTGATTACCAGGCATCTCTCTCCCTTTTTTTTTGTTAATCCTCACACGAAGGTATTTTTTCCATTGCTTTTCAGAGAGTGGAAGGGAGGGAGGGAGGGAAGAAGGGAGGGAGAGAGAGAGAGAAAGAGAGAAAGATCAATGTGAGAGAGACACATCAACTGGTTGCCTACCACACACGCACCCGACTCGGAGCAGGGAGCAAACCCAAAACCCAGGTACATGCCCTTGACCCGGAATCGAAGGCTGACATTCTAAACACTTAGAAGCTTCAGCCAGAGCATGTATTTTTTTCTTCTTTATTTTGTTTTTTTATGATTACCAAACATCTCCAAGTGCATGTCTCAAAGACACTTACGCCCAAAAGTGAACTTATCTTCTCTATTGCACAAAACTGGCTTCTTCTCTTCTTCCCAAACTAGACTAAAGCTATCACGACTCAAATCTTGGAGTCATCTTTCATTCCTCCCACATCTAACTGATCTATAAATACTTACAATTTTATATCCCAAATTTCTTTTAAATTTGTTCCTTTCCAAGTAGCCACTACCTTATTTCAGGTCTTACTAAATTTATTCACTTAACAAATAGTTACTGGGTACCCCCTGCATGTAAACCATTAGTTTAGGTACAGGGAAATAGTCATAAGCAAAACGGATAGAGTTTTTGTCCACATAAAGCTTACAACCTAGTAACAAGGCAATCAATGATCATATACATAATACTTAACTGATTAACTTTTTAAAAAAGTACAGAGTCCTATGAAGGCATTTAAAAAGTAGTCTGTCACCAAAACCGGTTTGGCTCAGTGGATAGAGCATCAGCCTGCGGACTGAGAGGTCCCAGGTTCGATTCCGGTCAAGGACATATACCTGGGTTGCGGGCACATCCCCAGTAGGAGATGTGCAGGAGGCAGCTGATCGATGTTTCTCTCTCATCGATGTTTCTAACTCTCTATCTCTCTCCCTTCCTCTCTGTAAAAAATCAATAAAATATATTTAAAAAAATAAAAATTAAAAAAAAATAAAAAGTAGTCTGTCGATGTGTGGGTAGAGAGAACCTATCCTACACCTAAGGGTTCCTTGGATAAATGATGTTTGACTACTGAAGGGCAACTAGCAGCTAATTAAATGAAGATGTGGGGAACAGGGAGTGGCAGCAGCACTACAGCAAAAAGCATGTGTAAAGATTCTGGGTTCTGAGGTAAAGAGAGGTAGTGGTGCACAGCGATTAAGAACATAAATTTTGGAGATAAACTGCCTGGATTTGATCCACCATTCATTAGCTGTGGAACCTAGGGCAAGTTATTCAATTAATTTCTCTAAGCTTCCATGTTTTCCTGATTTTAAAATAGCCCTGGCAGGTGTGGTTCAGTTGGTTGAGCATTGTCCCACACACCCTCACCAAGAGGTTGCTGGTTCGATTCCTGATCAGGGCACGTGCCAGAGTTGTAGGCTTGATCCCCAGTGAGGAGGCCTGCAGGAGGCAGCCGTGGATGTTTCTCTCTCTCTTTTCCTCACCCTTTCTCTCTCTCTCAAATAAATAAAAACATTTTTTTTTAAATGGGGATAACAGAGGCATTTCCTTTCCAGAGTTATTGTGCAAATTAAATCAGTTAATGTATGTAAACAGCTTTGACCAGTGATTGCCACATAGTAAATGCTATTATTAAATGTTAGCACTTAATGAACACGTTCATTCTGAGGAATGAAATAAAATAAAGCCACTATGGTTGGAGTGTGAGAAACTAAGCTGGAAAATTGGCAGGTATAAAGGTAAAAGGTTTTAGCAGGGGAGTGAATAATAAAAATGTAACTGGTGAAATTTCTCCCTCTCAGATCTCATCCTCCACACTGCCAAAAGAACACACATGGATCACATCAGCTCCTTCTTTAAAAATGTCCAAAGACTCCCCACTTTCTGCCTACATGACAAAAACCAAATGCCATACGCAACTTAAAAGGCCCTTTTCATTATCACTTCAATCTACCACTGTAGTCACACAATTCATCTAGTTCCCTTTACAATCTTAAGCCACTAACATATATGCACTTTATGCTTCAAAATTACATCTGACTTTTTCAACACTCTTGCACTTGTAGACCCTTCTCATTCTCTCCTCTGCAGTAGTCTATTTTCTCACCATTGATTGGAAATTTGGTACTATTACAGTTCAAAGCATTTTCACCCACAATTCAGTCTCTATAAATGAATTTAGATGGCATTTCTACAAAATCTTTAGAATTCTGCAGGTGATGTGGACTTACCTACCAATCCAGATATTCTTCCTTCCTATATTAAAGCTTGTTCCTTTCCTCTGAGGGCCCCATCTAAATTTCTTTATAAAAATGGAAAGACTAAGAAAAAAGATATAACCCTAAGTCCGTGGTTGGCAAACTGCGGCTCGTGAGCCACATGCGGCTCTTTGGCCCCTTGAATGTGGCTCTTCCTAAGCCTTAGGAGTACCCTAATTAAGTTAATAACAATGTACCTACCTATATAGTTTAAGTTTAAAAAATTTGGCTCTCAAAAGAAATTTCAACCATTGTACTGTTGATATTTGGCTCTGTTGACTAATGAGTTTGCCGACCACTGCCCTAAGTCAACCCAAGCCAGGATTACTCCATCAAGATCAACAGTGGAACCAAACATTAACTGTCCTAGAAGTCAGAATTAAAGGCATGGGTTCTTAACCAGAGGTCCATGGACTCCTCAGGGCTACATGGTAATTTTATGAAGCCCCTCAAATCGCATGCAAAGTATGTGTACATGCCTTTTTCTGGGGAGAGGGTCCATACCTTTCATCAGAGTTTCAAAGATATCTGTGACCTCCAAAAGGTTAAGAAGTGCTCTAGAGAAAAAGCAAAGACAAGCAAATGTGATTAAAAGAGTGAATCCTTTTTACTTTTTAGGCTGTCAGGGGTGCCTCATGATCTCTTAATACCTGAAATCAGGTCAGAGGACATTATCCAATCAAAATAAAAGTTAATATGGTCCAAACAAATACAGCTTCTATGGAAGGAGGAACTCCATACACAAAACCAAATCCATGAAGGTAAGTCACAAGGCTGGTACCTTACTCCAGGGGTTTCAAAATGGGACTAATAGGAAGAAAATATTTTACCTTCTATTCATATTTCCTTTTATCTCATTTACTGAAACATTCCTTTTCTGTGTGTTTTATAACATACGTAACAGTATGGTACCACAATTTACATAAGTGTACATATAATGGAAGTGGTTGCTCAATTTGTCTTACTTATGGGAATATGAAACCACAGATATAATCTACACACTTCAGTACCAAGTTAACAGTAACTCCAGAATAACACAAAGACCCACTAGTACAGTTCAGAATCCAAGAGTAAGAAATCTATCAGCTTTCACAAAAAAAGCTAATCAATGTCAACTAAAAAGTGACTAAAAGGACCTCTCCCTACCCTTACTCTCCTTACTTTTGTTTGTTTATAAGCTAAACAAGCTTTAAAGGATTAGTTTTCAGCTAAGTCAGTCTGGTTTGTCCAAGATTCCCAGGATGATGTGACCAAAACATTTAATGGAAAAACTACTTGCGAAACCACAAACGGTCAACTAATCAAGATATTCTCATAATTTACCCTAAAAGAAATTACTCTTTTCTTCCAGGAAAATAAATGCGAGAAGACTACCAAGACTGCCAAGGCACATCTTAGAACAGGTGATTGAGAGTGTCACCAAGTGGTGATACCCAGAGATGCAAGGTCCATCCGCGACATGAAATGGGACAGAGATAACCCTAACCTTGAAAATGTTTTTCCAAAACATTACAGCTACAAGCGAGCTGTCTGTCTGGCAGTAGGTAGGGAGCGGGGAGGGGGGCTGCTGGCCGGGGGAGAACCACGTGAGAGAAACTTTTAAATCCGAGCTACCTGTGCCTTTTCTACCTCTAAAGATCTCCTCCTAAACCCCAGGTTTCTATGGGGAGACCAGTATTCTAAGCCCCTCCTCAGGTTTCAAAGCCGCACCGCCCCCCCGGGGGGGCGTAACCCCATCTAAAAAAAAAAGTGGATTTTCTGGATCACTTTGAGACCTAAATAGGTAGAAATACATAAAGATGCCAACATATCCTAACGGGAATCAGCTTGGGACAATGGAGAGGAAAGCATCAACCCAGGGAAGAAAAAGGGGTGCACGGTGCGGCATGGGGCAGAGAGGTGGGACCACTGACGTAATGCAGCTCTGACGAGAAATGAGGAGAGAACTGGTTGTAGGCACTTACACAACCCGGTGGAGAAATGACGGACGACACAACAATGAAGCAGAGAGCCGAAAAAACAATACAGATACAATAAAACTGTGAGGAGCATGGGAAATTAGGACAGGCGTAGTGAGGAAGAACTAAGGAGGGAGCCGGTAAAAAGTGGAAAAGCCTACAAGAAGAGCACCTCGGAAAGGGCACAAGCCACTCCCAGAATTCAGTCCCCAGAAAAAGTCTAAGTCAGCCCCTGCCCTCCTTCACAGTACCTTCAGTTTATGCAGCTCCACCGTCTCTGCCGCCATCTTGTTACCCCTCCACTCCACTAGGCCCCCACTCGCAGCCTCCGCTTCCAGCAGCTCCCGCCCAGGCGCAGGGTCAACCAATCACCGCTACTCTTACTATCACCTCACACCATCAACTCTTCCCATTAGTCAATAGCTGCCGTCCTCTCACTCCTCCAGCCAGCTTTCCCCACCTCTCAAAAGGTGGGGCAGGGAGAGGGGCGGGTTCTGCGCCTTCCAAACGACGGAAACGGCGACCAATTGGGCGTCTTCATTGCAGACCCCCAGCCAATGGATGGCGGCAGCGCTAACCCTGTTCCACCAATAGGGAGACAGCAGATAAGCGTGGGCGGCTGCTTCCTGGAGACCACAGGTATAGAAGGGAGAGCTGCGCCCCTGGCCGATCAGCTTCCGAAGCTTGCAGGTAGGGGTTTACGGGAGACTGGAAAGGGGTGCCCGGCAAAAATGGTGGGAGGCAAACCGTGATGGGAGGCGAAAGCGGCGGCGGGGGTTGGAGCGGCGGTGAGTTAAATACCGAGAGAGAACCAGAGGGGAGCCGACGTACGAGAGATGGAAGCTGGGAAAAGCATCGGGCAGGTTCAGTATTAGGGTTTAGGGAATTTTAGGTAGAGAGGGGCGGGCAAGAGCTGCTTCCTAACTGGACATCAACTTTAGCACGATTTTAAGGAGCCAAGTTCAGACGATCTGAGCCGCCTTTGGATTTGAGGTTAGGGCTCCAACTGGAGGCGCCAAACTTAGGTTCCTTCCTAGCTCAACCCAAAACCCTGGGTAAATTCTCCCAATGCCCCACGCTTGAGAGGAGGAATTGGGATGTTGGCTGCCTACATGCCACGGGGATGAGAGGACGGGCAAGCCCCAGAGTAAAGGTGAGGATTGGAAGTAGCTTTACCCCCTCCTGCCTCCTTAGTGAATCCTTGTTTCCCATTACCTGCTTCTGGAATTATGGGTGTATGTAACCTCTTCAGGCTTCCTTATTAACAACTTCAGGAAAATAAAGTGAAATACTTGTTTCCCTTGCTCCTTTAAGTAGGTGCCCAAGCCTAGATTTACTCCTTCAAGCTGAAGTATAAGAATCAAAGATTACCATGTGTCTCTAAGATGTAGAGAGTACTCTTCTTGCCTTTTAAGTATTTTACCTCCCAAGTCTTCAGTTTTTCTTTGTGCATGATGGGGATGTTCTTTCATTCCCAATACAGTTCAGGGGATTTGAGCTATTCAGGAGACAATGTGGGGGCAAAAAAATCAAAGAGGGGTTGAGAGGAAATACAGGTGGACTCCTGCCTGATCCCCCACTGTGGTAGGATGAATGTGGGAGTAGCACACAGCGAAGTAAACCCCAACACTCGAGTGATGAATAGCCGGGGCATCTGGCTGGCCTACATCATCTTGGTAGGACTCCTGCATGTGGTGCTACTCAGCATCCCCTTCTTCAGCATTCCTGTTGTCTGGACCCTGACCAACGTCATCCATAACTTGGTGAGCGCTAAACCACACCCTATACCCACCCCAAGCCTTTCCCAAACAAAATAAAATCCCCAATTATTTGGGGATATGCCTTCCTTTGGGGATCTTAATCTTTGGGCTAAAGGACCATATGCTGCCCCTTCAAACTGCTCCCTTTTCTCCTCCCAGGCCATGTATGTCTTCCTACATACGGTGAAAGGGACACCCTTTGAGACCCCTGACCAAGGAAAGGCTCGGCTACTGACACACTGGGAACAGATGGACTACGGGCTCCAATTTACCTCTTCCCGCAAATTCCTCAGCATCTCTCCTATTGTACTGTGAGTCCAGTGGGAGATATGGGAAATGCTCCAAATGCCAGGTACAGAGGCCCACAGAGGAACTTAAAAAAAGCAGACTAATCACTTGGACCCTTTAAAGAGATTATGGTATACTAGGCCTAAATCTAGGGAGTGCAGTAAAAAGTAGAAAGCAATAATCAAGCATTCCTTGCTGCCTCCTTGGTGATAGGAGAATGGAGATGGGACTGAGAAAACCAAGTAAAACCAAATGATTTACATTTCCAAAAGATGTGAATAAATTAAGGCAGAACTGATGTAAATCTGTGAAAACTGGCCTTGGGGAGTGGAAGCACAGAGGACTTAACAGTGATACTGGCTGAAACTGCTTCAGCTGTCATTTGCCACATGTCATTAACAATTATTAAACACACAAACTAACGTACAAATCTCCAGTTAAAGGTGCTGATTATCTCCCTGATCCCTAGGATATTTTCAAATATCCTAGGACTACATGCAATAAAACTGGTCATTTAAAATAGAAGAGAAAGTCACTGGAAAGGCCAGCTTCACTCAACTTATTTCTTTTCTTCCCAGCTACCTCCTAGCCAGCTTCTACACCAAGTATGATGCTGCTCACTTCCTCATCAACACAACCTCATTGCTCAGCGTACTGCTGCCTAAATTGCCCCAATTCCATGGGGTTCGTCTCTTTGGCATCAATAAATACTGAGAGATGGGACTGGGGACAACATTGGAACAAAAGGCTGTAACATCTTTCCCTTCTCCATACTGTCTTCCTTTTCTTGGAAGCCTGAGAACTATACAACTGTTCCAAAACTCCCAGGATGAGAACTGGTTGGAAAATGGGGCTCCCTGGGAGTAGCCCTGCTAGCAGGCTTCTTTGAATCGGGAAAGGCAGATGAGGTAAGGGACAAATCACTCCCCTCCACAGGAGGCCATGTTTGGGCAGCTTGTTTGGTTTTCCCATGTCTTCCACCCCCACTACCTCCAGCTCTGTTTTGCTGTGTATTTCCCTCATAATAAAGGTCATTTTTTTTTTCCAGATATGGCTACTCTTTGGTCAGCAGGGAGGGTAGGGAGATGTCCTCATAAGGCTGGGGAAGAAAGATGGAACAGTGACTTAATACACAAAACTTTTCTAAGGTACTTTTTATCCCCTCTCCTTCGGTTCAGGAGGTGCCCTTCACTCCCAGCTAACACTTAGAGAAAGGATTCGCAAATGAGAAAAAGGACACTATCTATAAAGGCAAAGAAGAGAGGGAAGAAACAGGTTGCCAGTTACATATTTATAGAAAGATAATCCCCTGGCTTTAAATAGTTATGTACATACAAATATCAACAAACTTAAAAAAATACAAACCCTTGGATCATAAGGGGCCTACCAGGAACCCCTTTATTCTTTCCCCTCACCCAAGGGCAGAGGGCATGAGTCTGATTTTTTAAAAATTATTAGTTTGGCCATCCCTGCAGAAACAAGCATGAAGTTGGACAGTTACCCACAAGGTGACAGAAAAAATTCAGAGTTCCCACTCTCTGAACTCTATCTCCTATAATTAGAGTTACATGCTTTCTTGTTCTGTCTTTTAACTAGTATTGGGCTAACTAGTATATTCAGGAGGGAGCCCTGAACTGGGTCAAGAAATAAGATAGACTCATAGTTTAAAAAGAGGAGGGAAAGTCATCTGCTGTAGAAGCAAAAGACAAGACAAAGGCATACAGACCCTAGGGAAATACCCAGTTCCCACACTCCTCTGGGAGATACTGTCCTGCCCAGGTCCATGCCCTAGGTTCTTTGCTGTAGCCACCCCCTATTTCTTTGGTATTGTCAGAAGACCAGATTCAGTTCCTGGGTACCGGTGGAGGAGGGAGAGTGGTTCTGGGGCTTCCTACAAGTACTGAGTGAACAATTTGAGCTTAAAAGTTTCCCTTTTTAAAATATTTAAAAATAAATCAAACTCCATCCTATGCTGTACACAGCCCTTTTGACTCCCTGACATTGATTTGAGGAAAGAAGAAAACAAGTGTCAACGCTGGAAGGGCCTCCTCACTTTCTTCCGCCTCTTCGGTTTGGCTTCTCCCTTGGGTACTGTGCTGTTGGGCTTGGAAGCTCCGGTGGCCCCAGGGCCAGGGTGAGCTGCAAAGAAGTTCCCATTGGACATCTGTCCCGGGGGTACTTGAAAGATCCGGTTCAAGAAATCCTGAAGGTCAGCAGGAGGGGCATCTGGAGTGGCTCTGAAAGGAAAACAGAAGAATAATGAGGCAAGAGAGAGTCAAAGTCAAACATAGGTAACTATGTTAAAGATATATTGAGTCAGTTACCAAACTTCTTAAAGGGTGAGACATCTAGGTGTCCTAAGCACCATATTCAGAACTAGAATAGTGGATAGATTACTGAAAGAAATACCACCTACCTCTGTCGCCCACTGGTGCCTGGTATCCGAGAACCAAATGAGATGTGATAGGGGACTCTGTGAGTATCTGGGGAGATTCCTACTCGCTGACATCCAGCCCACTCTGCACACATGAGAAAGAATTAGCTAATACATCATATAAGCATATATGAGCCTGTATTTCTACAGAACAGAAGTGTACCTGTGATGTCATACACCTTTCCATCCATCAGTGCAAAGTAGGTGATCTTGAGGCCCAACATACTTGACTCTGCCCAAAAGTCTCCTTCTTCAGCAGGATGCAGCCTATTACACTCAGCACAGTATCTGGCACTCTTAGGTTCCCGGTCCATTTCAAACCTCCTGCAACCCAACAGAAGGGCAATTCCTTAATAACTTGTCAAGCCTGTGACATTTCTGTAGTCTCATTATTATGTGTTATTACATATGCCTATGCACACCCTTCTCTCAATCTTCTATCTTAAAGGTAAAAAATGTCTTTTTAAAAAATATATACTTTTATTGATTTCAGAGAGGAAGGGAGAGGGAGAGAGAGAAACATCACTGATGAGAAAGAATCGTTAATTGGCTGCCTCCTGCACGCCCCATACAGGATCAAGCCCGCAACCCAGGCATGTGCCCTGACCAGGAATCGAACCATGACCTCCTGGTCATAGGTCAATGCTCAAGCACTGAGCCACACCCACTGGACTGTCTTTTTTTTTCTTTTCTTACTAATTAGAATCCCCAATCTCTTTACAATATGACAGAAGTGGAAACCCAAGAGTTCTCTTACTCACCATTTCTATCCCACAACTACCAATAATACAAAGAAGGTCTTTGGCTACCTAACCCCTAAGCCAGTGATGGTGAACCTATGACACGCGTGTCAGAGGTGACACACGAACTCATTTTTTTGGTTGATTTTTCTTTGTTAAATGGCATTTAAATATATAAAATAAATATCAAAAATATAAATCTTTGTTTTACTATGATTGCAAAGATAAAAAAATTTCTATATGTGACACGGCACCAGAGTTAAGTTAGGGTTTTTCAAAATGCTGACACGCCGAGCTCAAAAGGTTCGCCATCACTGCCCTAAACTGTGGCTGTTACATTCCTATTTCATACCTGTGCTTTCCCTGGCATCGACTGCACATCATAGTATTCATCGCCTCTTTGAGGTCATCCTGCAGCTTGGACAGAAACTCATTCACTGACCGGCTCAGCTCATTCTCTGCCATTCGTTTCCTAAGAGAAGAAAGGCTTTATAAATCAGAGGGTATTGAACAAGGAATAAAAGGAGACAGATCTGTTGGCCTCTTAAAGGCCTTTTGCCTACTAGAAAGACAAGCAATTTTCTCCACCTGAGAGGGCATTCACCCGCAACTCTAGGGACCTCTGCTAGTGAAGATTATTCATTTACACCACCTGACAATTTCCTAGCTCCAACTTACATCTCATATTCCTTTCGCCTTTCAGGATTGCTGACAATGTCCCAAGCTGCCCGCAAAACCTTGAAGGCCTCCTCAGCCCGGGGATGATGATTTTTGTCAGGATGAACCTACCAAAACAAAGAAAGACTTCATCACAAATCCATTCCAAACCTCTCCCCATCTTGGGTCAAAACCTTATGTTAAGTGATAGCCCTGGCCAGTGTGGTTGGTTATCATCCCATGCACCAAAAGGTTGCTGATTCAATTCCTGGTCAAGGGCACATGCCTGGTCAAGGGCAATACCCAGTAGGCAGCATGCAGTAGGCAGCTGATCAATGTTAGCTGTCACATTGATGTTTCTTGCTCTCTTTCTCCCTTCCTCTCTAAAAAAAGTCAATAAACTATTAAAACACACACACACACAAATCATGTCAAATGGTTCTTTTTCACTCCCTTTTGGAGAGTCAATATAGTTTTAAAAAAAAAGTTAAATTCTTTATTGTTTAATATATTACATGTCTCCTTTTTCCCCCATTGACCTCTCCCCAGCCGCTCCCACCCCCCAGCACATAACTTCACCCTGCTACTGTCTGTGTCCATTGGTTATGCTTATATGCATGCATATAAGTCCTTTGGTTGATCTCTTACCCGTCCTCCCCTACCTTCCCTCTGAGGTTTGCCAGTCTGTTCGATGCTTCTATGACTCTGCATCTATTTTTGTTCATCAGTTTATGTTGTTCATTATATTCCACAAATGAGTGAGATCATGTGATATTTATCTTTCTCCAACTGACTTATTTCGCTTAGCATAATGCTCTCTAGGTCCATTCATCCTGTTTCAAATGATTAAGAGTTCTTTCTTTTTTACAGCAGTGTGATAATTCCATTGTGTAGATGTACCACAGTTTTTTAGTCCACTCATCTGCTGATGGGCACTTAGGCTGTTTCCAAATCTTAGCTATTGTAAATTGTGCTGCTATGAACATAGGGGTGCATATATCCTCATTGGTGTTTCTGATTTCTTGGGATATATTCTAGGAGTGGGATTACTGAATCAAAAGGGAGTTCCATTTTTAATTTTTGGAGGAAAATCCACACTGTTTTCCACAGTGGCTGCACAGTCTGCATTCCCACCAGCAGTGCGCAAGGGTTCCTTTTTCTCTACATCCTCGCCAGCACTTGTTCGTTGATTTGTTGAGGATAGCTATTCTGACAGGTGTGAGATGGTACCTCATTGTCGTTTTGACTTGCATCTCTCAGATGATTAGTGACTTTGAGCATGTTTTCATATGTCTCTTGGCCTTCTGTACGTGCACTTTAGAAATATGTCTATTTAGGACAAGCATGTCAAACTCAAAGGCTAACATGGGCCAAATAAACAAGGTTTAAGTTTATGTGGGCCACAAAAAAACACACAGAAGCTTCAATTTTCATAGAAACATGCTGAATACAAAGGGCTGAAATAAATGAGTAATTGTTAACATAAAAATTGAACATTTTAATAAAAATTAATATTTTTTCTTGAACATTAATTTACCAGACACTGAATAACTGCACAAATTAATAAGTGTAATGCAACTAAACCTATTTTTCTTGTTCTCTGAAAGTGAAATATTTCCTGTTGTGCACACCAAACATTTATCTTCAGTTTCCATTGTCCTAGGAATTGTATCGGCAGATATTGCTACAACATATTTCTTATATTTTGCTGCCTATGGATTCTTCTAAGATTTTTATGGTTTCCTGTCTTACCTTTAGGTCCTTTGTCCACTTTGAGTTTATTTTTGTGTATGGTGTAAGTTGGTGTCTAGTTTCATTTTTTTGCATGCATCTGTCCAAATTTCCCAGCACCATTTATTAAAGAGACTGCCTTGAATCCATTGTATGCTCTTGCCTCCTTTGTCAAATATTGAGCATAATGGCTTGGGTCAATTTCTGAGTTCTCTGTTCTGTTCCATTGGTCTATATGTCTGTTCTTGTGCCAGTACCAGGCAGTTTTGAGAACAGTGGCTTTGAAATATAGCTTAATATCTGGCATTGTGATCCCTCCAACTTTGTTATTCTTTCTCAGGATTGCTGCAGGTATTCAGGGTCTTTTTTTATTCCAGATGAATTTTTGGAGAGTTTGTTCCAGGTCTGTGAAAAATTGGTATGTTAATGGGGATTGCATTGAATCTATGGATTGCTTTGGGTAGTATGGACATTTTAATGATGTT